TCCGGGGGATTTTTTGCTTTTTTTTTTTTTTTTTTTTTCTACTTTCTGTAAAAAAAAAAAAACAACAAACCCCACACGGTACCAGAGCTCTCGCTGAGCGTACGTCTGCTTGCCAAATCACAACAGTCACCGCGCCCCGGGATGAAACTAATTCCAAAGAGTTTGAGGGTGCTAGTTAAAACCAAATTCAGCCTGGTCCTGAGAGCAAAAAAAATAAAAAAATAAATAATAATTAAAAAAAATTCCATGCTGGAAAAGCCCTTTGCCAGAACTCAGTTTTAGGATCCCCGTTAAAAATATGGTCCTGCGAATAACTAGGTATGTGCATGCTCATTATTTGTTTCTTCAAGCGTGTCTCTCGCTGTCTGTGAAGGAAAAAAAAAAAATAAAAGGGGAAAAAAAAAAAAGGGAAAAAAAAAAAAAAAGCTGTTCTTTGTAACAACTGGAACCACAACCGTCAGATTGCAGGAAAGCTACTGAAACTTGTTTCAAGAGGCTTCAATCCGCAGCCTGTTACAGCCTGAAAACTTATTATATGCATATTAAACCTGGGAAACAAAACAACCTATCTGGTCATATGTTTCCCATTAACTCCTGATTTTTTGCTCATTCTACCAAAGCTGTTGTGTGAACACAGCATACACACACACCCCAGTTGGAATCGGTGCTGCTCCAAGGACTCCCCGGTATCACCGTAAGTTGACAAATTTAAATCTTTCTTCCCTGATCCAGATCAGCCATATTCCAAGACGTATTAAACTTCCATTACCAACAGGACATAAAAATACAATTATAAGTACAATTCAGGCCAAAAAAAAAATATCTGAGGGATGGGGATTTTCTGGTAATCAGTGGGTGTTTTGAATGAGTAAAGACTGCATGATCATGCCATTTGTCATAAACGGTACCACATAAAGCCAGCTATTATGTGTGTTTAAGAAAGGAGATGGATTTTGGATTTACTTTTGACCTTATATATATATATTACTTCTGTACTGCCTAATTGGCATCCAGTCATTTCTGATTTTCACTAATGTAAACTGCATTTTAATGTAAAACTGCCTTTTATTTTATTCCACATGTGTTAATATCACACTTGCAAAAATGTGACCTGTCATTCATTGTAACTTATTTTTAGACGTCTAAACAGTTTTTAATAGTGTGATGCAATCTGCACGTCAAGGAGCCAGGAGACTTGGACAAGAGCAATATGATTCATTTTTTTTTTAAGAGCTTTAAAGGGATCCCTAAGTTAACAGAAGGACATATTTATACAAAGATTGAATTAAAAAAAATCATCCACAGCAAAAAGGATTCTGAAGCAAATGCATTTTCCTGAATTTGAAAAGGATCCAAATTTGCAAATAGATTATCTGGTATATCCTTAAGTATGAAAGAAGAAGAAAACAATTTGCAAACTAGTAATTAAGTATCTGGCAAATGCTGCATTTGAACTAAATCGGTGATATCTACATCTAATAATATCTATATCTAGCTATGCAATAAAACAAGTTGGAGTGTGTCTTCCTGACTCACAATGTTTGCTTTCAGTCTGATTTTGAGTTCTATTCTTTAAATGGATACAGAGATCACCACTACGAGTTGAATCCACGGTATTTTGTCATGCTAGACAATTAGGAGTTTCCATTAGATAATTACCAGAAGTATGTCTCATACAGGAAAAACAGTCAATTGCTGATGTAACAGGATTAACCAATCCAGCACAGTGATCCGGCCCACTTACTTTTGACAGACATTATATGTGAGTGTACACATGAGAAGTACAGTATAAAGCTTCGCATTATAAATACCACAAAGAGGAACTTCAGCAGTTCTTAATGCACAATACAGCAGTCTCCTTCTGAGAGGCAGGACTAGAGAGGTAAAAACTTTAAATCAGCTTTTTTTTTTTTTTTTTTTTTTTTTTCCTTTTAAAACTGAAACTTTTCATTCCTGTGCATGCTGTTGCATACTGTCAGGGCTGTATTGAATGAATGCATAGACAGAGCTTTGCAGCTCAGGTAATTTTATAGATAGGCTCTGAACCACCATTTCTGTGTGTATTCAAACCCTGTGTGTTTTTGTATGTATATGTATGTATGTGTGTAAGTACAAATGAACTAGAGCTCGGCGCTATCGGCAGACTCGCTTCTAGAAAACTGATTTTTAGAAAGTTATGCTTGAATGTTGAATCTGTCATCATCGTGGCATGCAAGGGAAATATGTTATACCTATATGTAATAGAGATTGCCTGTGATAAGCGTACCTGTTATATACGGCAAGCAACGTATACCCCCCAGCAAGAACCCAAATATACTTATCTGTATTTTCTACTGATTTATGCCTATCCCTTACTTTTCATCAGACACTGTTGGGATAGGTGCTATATTAGACCTATAAATAACCCCTTTAATTATGTCATCTGTTAGTACATCTAATCATGAATGCATATTTTCATGTGAAATTATTTTTTCGTCCAATTAAACTTTTAGTTCTATTTCAAGCTGACTTTCAGACTTGGTATAATTACAACAGACTTTGGGCTGTTCACAAGATCCAAGAAATTTAGATGTATTATAGCGAGGTTTGTGTTACAAAGATGTGTTTATAAGAATGACTGCAGGGTTTATAATGCTGACAGACCCATAAGTGTAACAGTATATAACAGTATAGCAACTGAGGTCAGTAAAACGCAGATGAGGGTGTACTGTGGATGCCTTATAACAGTGAAAGACTTATAAAAGAGCTTAATTGAAAAGGACTTGCAATATATAACATTTGTAAAACTTTGGTTGATTGTTCAATTACTTCTGTATGTTTCATTTACCTTAACTATAACTCCTTGCCTGTCTCTCAGCCCATGTGCCTGTAGTCATCTCATGGAAATTAGAAACCTCACAATGCTCATATTTATAAATTACTCCTTTCCACTAAAATACAATGGCTGGTGGTAACACAGTGAAAGTGCATATTTGCTGGGTAGGAGGCAAGCACACCTGAGAAGACAGAGGTGAGAGAGAGAGAGAATGAAAGGAAGGTGAAGGGAGAGGGTAAATATTAAAGAAGGAGGAGGTGGTGTGAGAAAATCTGTACAAGTTGAAGTCTGGAGGGGAAGAACCTCCAAAGTTAGAGCCTTTCAGCTGTAGTCCTCTCATTTTCCATTACCAAGTTCAAACATGGGGGAGTTTGCTAACTTCACCCTTGCTAGGTGAGGAAGAGGACGGGGAGGCTACAGAAGGTAAAGGCACCACCAAGCCATGGCAGTGACACGGGCAGTGCCTTCTCTCTGAGGGGCATGAAGTGGCCAGAGTCTACCAACACGGGCTGAAACTCCAGTGTTTGAGACTGCTTTTGTCTTATTCTAATATTATGGTTGCCCTGCGTGGTTTAAATGAATGAAACAAAAAGGTGCCTTCTAATAACAACGGGCCAAATGTAGAAGATCTTACTCAGCCTTCACTCAGACAGAATTATTATTAGCATCGATGAGGGACTTGCCTGAGTCAGGAGGGAGCATGATTTGGCCAGATGGCACGTAACACTTTTCACCTTCAAAGCATTTTTCAGCCGTTACTTGATTCACCCCAAACCTAAATATATCTGCCCGGGAACTTCTAGGCACGGAGCAGCGTAGAAGCAGGGATGTTTCTGATGGGAGGGGACCACCTTAGCATGTCACAGCTTTATGTGCCCTACCAACTCCTGCTGAGGCTCTCAGTGCCCAGCCACGTCTCGCAGCTGGAGAACATCTGATGTATTCTATAACCCTCCAAACAACAGCCTCAGTTTGCCCCCCGTCAGATCTCTTGCCAGTGTTGATAACCTCCAGCATTTAGAAGGGAGCAGAAAAGACCTTTTTTCTCTTCTACTCCAGGCAGAATAACCTTCTGTCCAAAATATTCAGAGCCCCTGCCCTCGTTCCCCGTCTCGTTTCACAAGCTACCTAACATCTCCTGCTAGCCCTTTAACAATACCAGGCAGGACCAAGAGCAAGGTGCTCGTTAATAAAAGGTTTCACTCTTTTCATTCATTCATGTTTGCTCTGTTTAGTTAAGCCAGTGATACTGTTGAAGGAATAAAACAAACAAAAAAAAAAAAAAGAAAGAAAAAAGAAAAAAAAAGGGGGAGAGATGACAGCCCGGGAGGGGGGGAGCCAGGAGGGTCAAATAGAGAGGCAAAAAGAAAAAAAAAAGAAAAAAAAGAGTAAATTTACAGGAATGAAAAGAGATTTTAGAAAGGGGGGAGGGCAGAAACCACGAGTAGTGATATTTGAAGAGGTGTGTGTTAGGGGAGCAATGAGCATAAGGAAGCCAGCCTGCCTGTTCCTCCCCCTTCCTAATCATAGCCTTTACTCACAGACAAAACTCCCTCCCTCTCTCATTCACTCACTCACTTTAGGCCAATCCGTCCTCTCTCTCTCTCTCCCTCTCTCTGTGTCTCTCTCCTACTCTGAGACAGAGTCAGAACTCTTCTCCCTGACAGCCACAAACATCTACAGCACTTATTGCATTCAGAGAGGGAACCTGCAAACAAAACTTCACAGAAAACTTTTGGTTCTTGTTCCAGAGAATTTGCTGAAGAGAAGGAAAAACAAACAAACAAACAAACCAACCAAACCAGCCCCCCCCCCTAAAAAAAAAAAAACCAAAAAAAACTGTGCGTGAAAGGGGGAGGAAAAGCAGGGCCTTTTAAAAAGGGAATCACAACAACTTTTGCTGCCAGGATGCCTTTGCTTTGGAAGAGAGGATTTTTGTTGGTGCTTTGCTGGATTATAGTGAGGAGTTCCCCAACCCCAGGATCCGAGGGGCACAGTTCAGTCACTGACTGTCCATCATGTGCCCTCGCCACGCTCTCCAAGGATGTGCCCAGCTCCCAGCCTGAGATGGTGGAAGCAGTAAAGAAGCACATACTGAACATGTTGCACTTGAGGGACAGACCTAACATCACCCAGCCGGTGCCCAAGGCAGCACTTTTAAATGCCATCAAAAAACTCCACGTGGGAAAGGTGGGAGAGGATGGTTATGTGGAAATAGAGGATGATGTTGGAAGAAGAGCCGAAATGAATGAAGTTGTGGAACAAACCTCAGAAATCATCACTTTTGCAGAATCAGGTGAGTGCTTGAAAAACAAAACTGTATAAATAGCCTTTGTGCCAGCACTGCAATTAACTTCTTTTCTTCTCCTCAGCAATAATGCTTTCTGCAAGGTTGTAAGGATGAGACTTGGGGGAAGGGAGAAGGAGGAATCGGGACGGGGGGGACGGGACTCTGAAGGAATTTGATTTTTCTCACTTAGTCTTGGCCACAGATTCCACTTGCTAAGCACAGACAGCCACACAGGGAGGAAGCTCTCTAATAACCAATCTCGAGCAGAAAGTCAGGCTGCAGAGGGGTCCTCCAAACTGTGCCTGGGAAGCCAGAGGACTTGCAGGAAAGTACTGGATTGCAGAGCTGCCGGTGAAAGAAAAAGGGCTGAAGCCTTTCGGGGAGTTTATCAGGACAGAAAGTGAGCTGCAAACCACTTGAGAAACAACTATTTCCCGTGGAAATTGCAGTGGAAGTTAGAAAACCAGATGAAGCAGCTTTAACTTTTAGCAGCGAGAGGGCTTTTTAGTTTTTAGGTTTGCTTTTATTTTTTTCTTAATTTAACACAGCATCTTCGGCAATAAAGAGTTGCAGGGACTGTCAGATGACTTCAATAGAACCGGACAAGTTGCTGTAGCTGATCCAATTTGTAATGCAGACTTCTGCATACTGGAAAGAAAAAAAAAAAGATTCTGTTCCTAGAACACTCCTGCCAAAAAACTGCAACCTTGGTAGGGTGCATTTTGAACTCTTTCACAGTTCTGTTTTCCCTAACTCTTATGCAGTCAGAGCTCAGAATATGGATATTTACTAAGTAATGGCTTAAGGCTCACATCAGCTGCCTATAGGAAAGAGCTCTGAAGTTGTTCTTTACTGTCTTGCTCCTACAAGAACAGGACCAGGACCCGTTTTAATTCAATGTATATGTATGTGCATATTTATCTGTTAGTATATGTGAGTGTGTTTATACATGCATCGATAGAAGTATCTCGCAATAACACTATCATCTAACTAACAGCAACTTTTTATGATGCTGTCTAGCCAAAGCATTTTTCTTGTTGCCAAGACGGTTTTAAAAGAATGTCATTGTTTTGTTTGGTACAGCATATGGTAGGCAAAGTATGCAAAGGAACTCCAAGCATTTTTGTTTAAAAAGTTTGCTGCAGCAGTATAAACAATTAAGACAACACTCAGAGTTTCCAGTCCTGAAAACCTGTTGACTCAGATGTTCTGTTTGCAGGGAAGCCATGCACAAGAAGTGTGCATGCTTTTAAGAGCAGGCATTCCTGCTGCCTGTCCGATTCACAACGGCACAAGGAGCCCTTGCCTTTGGAGCCCTTGTCAATACACACACTATCGGTTCTTTTAGTATTTAAAGCTCGGGATTTTTTGCTTTTTTTTTTTGCCACATCCCCCTCCACTTCAGAAAGCAGGCAGAAGCTGTCAATGCCCGCGGTCATCAGAAGCAGGGGTGGCTCAATGTTAGTTCAGAAGGGAGTTTTTTTTAAAAAAAAAAGCAATGCAAACTTTAAGCTGGCTATGAGTCGCATTCCCCACCTGGTTTTCGGCAGCTCGCTCTGAGCACAGGGAAACACATATGGCATGAGCAGTGGTTTCTCTTCACTGTGTGACTGTTTTTTTTTTTTTTATAAAAAAAAGCAAGGCAAACTTTAAGCTAGCTATGAGTCGCATTCCCCACCTGGTTTCCGGCAGCTCGCTCTGAGCACAGGGAAACACATATGGCATGAGCAGTGGTTTCTCTTCACTGTGTGACTCCCAATCATTTGTAAACACATTATTGTCTCTCCTGAGCTCTGACACAAAGGAATTTGGAATTTGATATATGCCTCCTCGCTCCGACACCCTCCGACGGCGGCTCCCTGAGCCATTGGCTCGCGGCGTCACGTGAGCGGCGAAAATCGTGCCATTGCCCACGGGCTGGCCAATAGTCCGGCCACCGGTCCCCCCTGCCACAACCTACCCAAGGCTCCCACGTCACTTGCTTTCTGATTTACACAGCCTCGGCCTCCCGCCGCTACCCAAATCCAGTTAGGAAGACTTTATGCTATATGGAGTGGCGCGGCGGAAGGACACGGCATCCGCTGCCGTCCCAGGCTTCTCCTTCCCTCCTGGCTCTTCTCCACCCTCACGCCAAGCTCATCCCGAAAGCCAAGGCATGAGGGCTGCTCTGGCCCTTTTTTTTCCCCCCTACCTGCTGGGCTTTGATTTGGGAGGAGGAGCAATTAGCAACCTAGAAACCACGCACCATGCTTCAGGCTTATAATGGAAATAATAGCTCCGCTCCAGGGAGTAACTTCATGCTGCTAAAACATATTTTTCTATAATCTATAGCCATTCATATTTGGTGTCTTGCTAACATCAGAGGATCTACCACACTTCACAGGTACCAATGCTGCAACAACTTCAGTAAAACTCTACCTAGGATCTCTTCCACTCACCCACCAGCAGTATTGTGTGTCAAATATTGAAGCGGTAGTATTTTTTTTCCTGTTGGGGAAAGCGAGGTGAAAATAAGGCAAGGGCCATGTCATATAGGAGGCATGAGTTAAAAAGGCAGGAAAAGAATCTAGCCACATGGACAGTCCCCACTTTTCACTCTGTGGGAACTGGGAAGAGCATGGATAAGTTTAAAATGCCAAGGAGGAGGATAAACATGTTCCTCTCCCAGTCAGATTAATCAATGTGAGACTCACCCTGTCTCAAAAGAGGGCAATAGGAAATCAATGAAAATGCATGGAAACATCTCAAGTTGTATCAAATTAAGGCCCATGGCTTTGTGTTTGTTCAGGCTTTGTGTTCCTTTGGGTATGACTTGACATAAACCAGCCATTCCCCCTACTTTCAGAAGCCACATTTACTACTTGCCTTCATAAAAAAGTACTATTTCCATCTTTCATCAGCCCTATCCTCAGCCATGCAATGAAATGGAGTGAATGAACAAACAGTGCACGTGACTCTGGCTCGAGACTGCTGTTTTCTAAAATAGAACAGCATTCAAATGAGCACAGGCTTCAGGTAATCAGAGGGGAAACTAAATGCAGTGAACTTGTCTGAAGCACAGGTGTAGTTATGCCCAGGAAATCAGGGAAATAGCTGGCAGGTAGTTTTCACAGCTAACAAATCCAGGCAGAGCTTTACAAAACTAATGATTGGGCAAAAGTTTACAAATGCACCCTACTGTCCTTTGGCACTCTTACAAGGAAAACATGAAAATGATTTTCTACTTGCATATCAAACTAAGATTACTAACCTCGATTAGTTCTGCTACGAGGGTTGCTGTGCCAGAGCTCAGTGGGTTACTTCAAGGTCTTAAAAGTAGTCTTTAGAGGAGAGGGGTCATATAATTTTGTGACATGCAAACCCAACAGGTTCTACACCGAAAACATACAACGTTCATAAAATATGGTTGGCTACTAACTCTTTCATTATTTTAAATAGATAGCTTGTTAGGCAAACCTGGGGTTTTGCCAAGTGAATTTGATCCTGGCAACTAAACTACCAATGAAATGGGTTGCTAAGACCAGCCCCCGAGAAGGTGATAGGAATTACTGGATGGAAATACTGAAATCCAAAGGCTTACCATTAGGAGGACTGTCAAGGAAAGAAAAGAAAAAAAAAAAAGAGAAGTCTTTCAGCTATTTAGACTGGTTTTGTATCACTTCATACTGAATTCAAGGTGAACTGAGTTGATCAGGAGATGCCTGCTTTCATATGCAGACACATGTAGGTACGCACGCCTTCTCCTAGGAGGATACCTGCCTACTCCTCGGCAGTTCAGGAGGAATAATAATAATAAAAAAAAGGATGGGTCACTTCTACCTCTTTAAATCATTAAATTCCATCAATTTTTCTTCTGAAAGCTGACGTAGCTAATGGTACAGCTACCCCTGCTGAACAGAGAACGACCACGAGAGGGCGCACTCCAAAGGCTTTTTGCTCCACACCAGGCACCCTCCCTGCGAGCTCCTGTTCCACCTCCCTGCATCCCCAACCCCAGGCATCTTTATGCTTTATCTATCTGCAGCTTCTCTGAGTGGAGCTCTTGTTTCTCTCTTCTGCTTTATTTAAAAAGGCCAGAGATTCGCCTCGCCGGAGGGGAAGGCTGTAAGCAAAATAACGCAGGAAGGAAAACAGGCAAAGGGGAAAAAGCTAAACGGATGGATGCTCGAAGTTCTGGAAATCTAGAGAGATCAGAAATTATCATTATTATTTTTTTACAAGATACTGAGAAATGTGACCGTGAATCATCATCTGAGCTGATTTTCTCACATCTTTTTTTAATGCAGTCTCCTTGGCTTTTAGAAAACAAGCCTATTTCCCCTTGATTTTTTTTTTTTTTTTTCCTTTGGCATACTACATCAAAGATTTCAAGTTTAGCAAATGAAAGCAAGTTACTTCCAGAAGAAGAAAGCCATTCTGTATTAATCTGTTTTCATTGTGAGAAAAAAATGTGAGAATTCGGGGGCTGGTTTGAGAACAACTTGAGAAAGCCCAGGCAAATCCTAGAAGGTGGGAACCGGTTTAGAAGGAGATAACCTGAGAGGGAGAGAGAAAGCACTGCATGTGCCCATTGCTCTGTGTGTGCTCAGGCATGCAGTTTTGTATGCAAATGCAACTGAGAAGATGAGAATATGCATTTTTCTATATGAATATATAAGCACACGTGTCTGTAGGTAGGGGTATGCCAAGGCAGAGATGCTTATTATGTAGCTGTACCTGTATAATTGTAATATGAAGAGGTTCCTGCAGAGAAGTGGGTGCATTCCTGTGCTCTCCTGGGTGCAGGATGTATCTACACAGCATAAGTGTAAACAATTCACACCGAGGAGCCCTCACATATAGATATGCCTGTATAGGTCTGGTTTGAGAACAACTTGAGAAAGCCCAGGCAAATCCTAGAAGGTGGGAACCGGTTTAGAAGGAGATAACCTGAGAGGGAGAGAGAAAGCACTGCATGTGCCCATTGCTCTGTGTGTGCTCAGGCATGCAGTTTTGTATGCAAATGC